TAATTGCAGATCAAAATTAGATGAAACAATATTACAGCTTAAAGGAAAAAAAAGATGAATGAATGCTCTCTTCAGAGAAGAAAATAAGTGGTGGTTTGTGAGGGATATTGCTTGGTTTGATGCAATCACTCTGTTTTTTATGATTATGAAAATAAGGGTGATTGCATCGGACCATGCTTCATTCCTTTCAAATCCTTTTGTAAAAACCAGCTAGCTACCAAGGTATTACTGGAAGAGTTAGTATGTGTAGATACAATGTTTAAAGCGTATATGTCATTCATATTTTCACTTTGTAGAAATTTCCTTTTTAGTATACTTTTAGTAGCTTTATTTCAGAGGATTTTAGAAAGCGAACGAAAGGGCTATATAATTTGTTAGTATGACTTTAAATATATTCATTTTATTTTGGACTAGATTTTACATATGACTTTGTCTTTATGCATAAAAATGTAAAAGACTCGCAACATTCAATTCTTCATAAGCTTTTGAATAGAAACAGTGTTTTGGTGAATCTTATTTCCACTTGCAATTAGTAATTGTATTATACAAATGTTCAAATAACATACTTCACTTATAGGAAAACCTAAATGTAATATAAGTTATATATTTAAATTAAGTTATAACATTATCACCTAAAACAACTTATGTGTTCACCATGTTATGCAAAGGATGCAGTCTAATGTTCAAGTATGGAATTCAGACTTTTAACTATTAAGTTATAACATTATCACCTAAAAGTAACATTTTAGAACTAGTTTCAAGGAACTCTGCACATTGATACTAAAAAATTACAATTTACAATTTAAATCCACAATCTGAAGTCTGTTTAGTACTATTTTGGAGCCATATTACATGATTTAAACATTCATGCACATTATATGTGTAACATCCCACATATTCAATGTACAAATAATCCACATCATCATACTCATAACACAAACTGTAACATCGTTTACAAAATACAGATTAACAAAAACTTTCTTAAAATACATTTATGAGTACTAGATGTCATTCATTCTAAACTTTTCCCTTGCCTTTATCTTGCGAGGTATGATGACCTGCAAAACAGGTTAGTCCAACAACTGAACGTTAGACCAAAAAGGTCTAGTGAGTGTATAAATCTCAAACAAACAACATACTTTTCAAACAATCAGTTCAGAATCAAACCTGTTCTGACACATAAACTTATTTATGTCTCTCGCGGTTACACCGCCATTACATCTCTCTCGCGGTTACACCGCCATTTCATCTCTCTCGCGGTTACACCGCCATTACATCTCTCTAGCGGTTACACCGTCATGTCATCTCTCTCGCGGTTACACCGCCATTTCATCTCTCTCTCTCTCTCGCGGTTACACCGTCATTACATCTCTCTCGCGGTTACACCACCATTACATATCTCTTTCGCGGTTACACCGCCATTTCATCTCTCTCACGGTTACACCGCCATTACATTTCTCTCGCGGTTACACCGCCATTACATCTCTCTCTCGCGGTTACACCATCATTACATCTAAAAAATGATTCAACATATTAGCTGAATTTGAAGTCCGGTCATCCTTGTCCGGATATGAAATCCGGACAAATACTTAGAATATTAAGGTAAACCGATCACGCCTTGAGCGATTTATAATCCGGATGAAACTGTCCGGATATCAATCCGGTCATCACATTTCTTTGAGCGGTTTAGTTTTAATCCACACACCTCTTGAGCGATTTATGGTTAATCCGGTCACCTCTTGACCGATTTAGGGTTGAGTCCGGACAACACGTGAGCGGTTTATAATCCGGATGAAATTCTCCGAATATTAATCTGGTCATCACTTAGACGATTTAAGGAAAAATCCGCACAATATGAAATATAAATCATAATAACCGTTTCCAATAACTGCTGAATTGTATGCAAACAATTTATATCAAAGCTTTAATACACTCACCTTATTTTGATGATCGGATAAAGCCCGCAATTGTCCTTCAGCCCTTTTCTCTTCAATATGCAAAAACTTCTCCAAAAACAAAAATCTCCTTTCTTTTTACATACACTTGCTATAAATAGCAAGTGTATAGCCGCGTCTCAAAGGTCGGCTAACAAAGCTACATCATCCACACCCACACACTTCTACATAAATACAAATATTATATATGTATATATAAATATATATATATATATATTCCAAAAATCTTAGTTGAAGACTCGAAACCCGAATATTACAGTATGTCTATCAAACCACGTATGAAAGTTAGTGTATAAGTCTGTAAGAAAACAAGTCACAGTTAGCTTCCAACTCTTACATTTAATTTTTACGGGTTCATAGGTTTAATACAAGAAGTTTGCTGTTGAAATGACTCTGAAGTAAACCATCTATTTTAACTATGGAAAAGGATATCAGACCTATCTTTGTGAAATAATTTTTATTTAGAAGTTTTTGTGATCACCGAATTACGTGATGGCATAGCACATGCAGAACCTATGTGAAGTTCTGTTTGAAGGATGGAGTCACGCTTGACAGGCATAAGGGTTAAAAAACTTTCCACAGTTTAAGCTCAAAATGGTACAGACTTACAAGGTTGAAGTACACTTTCAAAGTCAGAGGCGGAGACTCAAGGTAGGACATGAAGAGACAGAGGTCTTTTTCAAATCTTAAGTGCAGAGCCTCTGTGTAACTCTGTATGAAGCACAGAGGTAGTGTTATAGTGATGTAGCACGTGTAGAATCTCTGTCGTGGTCTGTATCAAGAAGAAGAATTTCAACGTAGAACATGAATAGACGGAGCTCTCTCTCAACACTTAAGTCCAGAGCCTCTGTGTAGCTCTGTATGAAGCACGAAGGCAGTGTTAGAGTGACGGCGTAGCATGTGCAGAACTTCTGTGAAGGTCTTCATGAAGAAGGGAAACATCAACGTAGCACCTGAAGAGACATACCTCTTTCTCAACACTTAAGTGCAGAGCCTCTATGTGGCTCTGTATGAAGCACGGTGATAGATTGACAACGTAGCCCGTGCAGGCCCTCTGTCAAGGTCTATATGAATAACGGACTCAGGGTTGACAGCCAGAAGGGTGAAGGAACTTCCAAGAGTGAAAACCGGGTACCGTCTGGAGTTGCAAGTCTGACGTACACTTCCAGAGTATGACCTGATGCCTGAAGGTAGGACATGAAGACACAGAGCTCTTTGTTAACACTTAAGTGCAGAGCCTCTGTGTAGCTCTGTATGAAGCACGGAGGTAGGGTTAGAGTGACCGCGTATGACATTCAGGACCTCTGTGAAGGTCTATATGAAGAAGGGAAGCCTCAACGTACAACATGAAGATACAATCCTCCTTGTCAACACTTAAGTGCAGAGCCTCTGTGGATCTCTGTATGAACCACGGAGCCTTGTTCAGATTGACCGCGTACCAGTTACAGAACCTCTATGAAGGTCTGCATGAAGAATGCAGTGAGGCTTAACAGACACAAGGGCTAATAAATTTTCGGAGTTAAGACTCGAACCGTGCTGAGTTACAACTCTGAAGTGCACATCCAGAGTAAGCGTCAGGGCCTCAACGTAGGGCGTGAAGAGAGAGAGCTCTTTTTCAACACTATGTGCAGAGCCTCTGTCTAGCTCTGTCTGAATCAGGGAAGCAGGGTTAGAGTGACGCCCTAGCACAAGCAGAACCTCTGTTAAGGTTTGTATGAAGAATGAAGTCAGGCTTGACAGACAAAAGGGTGAATAAACTTCCCAGAATTAAGACTCAGATGGTCCAAAGTTACAAGTTTGAAGTCCACTTTTAGAGTAAGAGGTGGAGCCTCAACGCAGGGCATGAAGAGACAGAGTTATTTTTGAACACTTAAGTGCAGAGCCTCTGTGAAGCTCTGTATGCAGTAGGGAGCCATGATTATATTGACAACGTAGCATGTGCATAACCTCTGTTGTGGTCTGTATGAAGACGGGTAGCCTAAACGTAGCACATGAAGAGATAGAGGTCTTTCTTAACACGTAAGTGCAGAGCCTCTGTGTTACTCATGCAAATAAGTTTAACATTAAATCCAAGAAAAAAATAATGACAGCGTATAGGAAGTTACATTCACCAATTAACAGATCATTGTACAAAACAAAATCCAATCATCAAAACAATACCAAATACGAGAGACAATGTACTTGTACACCCGAACCATGAATATTACTTCTGAAGTGGAGGGATTTTTAACATTCTTGTAGTCGATCCTTTTTGTTAAATTAGGTTCTCGATACTCGAACATAAGTTAAAAAGAAATAAAATTCTTACTTGAATTAAAAACATAAGTCTAATTGAAGGTAGAGGTTAAAAATGACCTCGGTTTTACATTAACTATTCAGAAAGTAGAATACGATTGAAATGAAAGTATAATGCTTGGGAGCTAAAAAATGCTAAGACAAGAAGGTCTAGATGTTTTCAAGCCTGATGAACCTCCTAAGAAGTTTTCAAACTCCAACAGATTACGGATTGACCTTAGAACAATTTTGCCTCCTTCTCTCACTCCAGGGGTGGTATCTCTGCTTCATGTAAGATGGTCTCTACGATAATTCTAACAGAAGATGGCCTTTGTACATAATACACTTACCTCTTAAGTAAGAGCTCTGTCTGTCCTCGTGCTACACAGAACCTCTGATCCTGATTCCCTACTCCATACAGAACTACGCAGACGATCTGCATGTACCACATAGTGCACCTGAAGTTGCTTGCATACTCATTGCAGAACTGTTTTTCAACTGACCAGAGCCTCGTCGTCCAAAAATAGTTAAATACTTACAAGCAGATATAATTTACATGAACATGAAAATCAAACATTACAAAAGTACGTACTGCAAATGAGTTTAATATCAAATCCAACACAAATGATAATGAAAGCATGTATCATAACATCTGCAACAATGCATAAATAATTGTCCAAGAAAAAATTCAACCACCAACACAATACCAAATGGGAGTTTCAATGTAAATGTTCATCAAAAAGAAGAGTTTTACTTTTCAACCTTAGGGATTTATAATGTTTTTATAGCCGATCCTTTTCCTTCCTGATCGGCATCAGACAAACTTTCAAAAAGCCGCTTCCTTTCAACCCTCTTGCTAAGCCTTCTCTCACACAATTTTTCTTCTGATTTCGGACTGTCTGCAGTGCTCTTATCAACATCGGATGGTGTTGCATTCTCACCAGTATATGAAACAACATCCTTCAAATAAAACAATAATTAGTTGTGGCATTTGAGAAATTAGTTCCTTGTAGTTGTGTTTACAAATTACATTGAACATGGCAGTTATACTACCTTTAACTTATCTTGGGAATTGAAATATGTTGAATACAGATTTACTGCTTCTGATTCAGCAGGCTGCAGAGTAAATGCTAAAATAATGTTAAGAGTAACAAAGATTTTAGAATAAATTGGATAATATTTTTTACAAATTGAAATCAGCACCTGTTCAGAAGCGCATCTCATCTCAATTCACTCAAAATGGCATCATCATTTGTTAGCTTTGAAATGCCATGAATGAAAAAGTTGTTCTTAATATTGTAATCAGTTATGCCAATTTTTATTGCAAACCTCCGATCAAGCAAAACATCCAACTCATCTAGAAACATGTCTAAATCACCACTCTAACAAAGGAAACAAACAATTTTTACATTAACAGGTATTTGGAGTCCTGAAAAGTAACTTATGAAAAAGGTTAAGACCTCTAACCATACCTCTTTAACTTTTTCATACAACTCTGTTTCCGTTTGGTTCAAATTTTTATTAGCTTCCCGATCAAATAATGTCAATGATACAATTCCAGTATCATCTTGAACTCTCAAAGAAATTCTGAACCTATATGATTATTAAGTGAGTATTAATGTGAGTGTGCAGAAGTTAATGAGAAGCACGGTTATGTAATTGTTACTTACTTTGGCAACACTTCTGTCTGTTTACCTTTGTATCTATTAGTTGTACAATCAAAACTCTCCCTCTCTTCTTTCATACCAGAGCCATCATCCTTGTCACTAATAATGTACGTGGGTCGAACCTTGTGGTTACACCTCGTGCAACCCATGTAAAACCAAGGGATATCTTTCCTAAATGCTTTCACCGTTCCTAATACAATTAGTGATTTCACTTGTATAAAGTATGCTATGTTACACTAAAATCCATTACTCAATGTATAGACACAATTTAAAAGAATCAGTACCTCAACAGTCTCACTGATTTTAACAACGTTTGCTCTACTGGTTCTGTCTAGGAAATCTTCATGATATGAGTAACACATTCCAGAGAGCATTGAAATCTGTTGTGACCATTTAGATTCGCCACTTTCCTGAATCAAACTATTGAATCAGAGTAGTAGTACACAACAATGGATATGAGCGAAATATAAGATATATAACAGAAATATAACAAAAATAAATAATAAATAAAAATTGTTGACCTTTTCTTAAAATCTTTAATTTCATGAATGTCCGAATTGATGAACAGCCTCGTACAATTGAATGAGTTAGAAAGAAATGGTTTTTCTGAAACAATCAAATGAAACAAGTTAACACAACATTCCTTGAAAGAACTATACATGTAATGAATCAGACTAACCTCTGTAAATTTTGACCATTGCGAATTGAATAACAAGAACAACAATCCCCTTGTCCTTGTTTGTACAAACATAATCATTCAATTCCTCAGCAAAGGCATCCCACAATGTAACTTGTATTTTAATCCCGCTACATAAATTGTAAGAAAACAATTATATAGTTTCTGAAGATCATTGCTAGTAAATTATAGTGAAATACTTACCCCAAATCCTGCATCTCAAGTTTCATTCTTCTTTTGGCTTTTCCATTGCTATCTGGAAGAGTCACCATTATCTCACAAGCAATAATCTCCCCAATTACATCTATGTAATGATCAAAAAGTTAACATAACAACATCTAACTTCAATAAGTGTAAAGTATATAATTTATTTAAACAATACAATCAATGTAAACGGACTTAATTTACTCACCAACTACTGTATGTTCTAGGATACTTTTGGATTTAATGTTTTCAAATTTGACAAATGAGAAACCAAAAATGGAACCCTTAAAATCCCGGCAATTCGAAACAGAAGTCTTGTAATAGAAATTTAACTTGTTTGTATTGTCGATTAACTTGTACTTCGTTGCATATCGAGCAATTGTAGGATTCTTAATAAAAACTATAGCCCCTTCTTGAAGTAAGTTCCTGAACTTAGGAACCCATTTTTGCAGGACATTTGCTTGTTTTTTGGTGCCCTAAGAACAAAAAAATGAAAAATCAATGAGTACTGATGATGTGAAGATCTTAGACAGTTTAGAAAATAATTCATTATCATGCTTTCAATACTAAAACTTCAAAAAGATATAAGAAATTACCTGTTCATCCATTAATATCATTTCAATGGAGTGTATATCATCCGCGTTTTTAAACACCGGTTGCTTCCACAATCTAACAATTCGAACCTTGATAGTGAAATCATCCTTCTGTATGTCAAGATCATCAATGAATGTAATATTGTTTCCAGCCATTAATCTGTAGAAGAGAAACCATGTATTAATTAATTAAAATATTGAAGTAAGTTAATCAAAAGAAGCTATCATACCTTACAGAAGAAAAGCAAGTGGTTTTGATTGTTCTTGTTTGACTATGAGAAAAGTTGCCAATTTGAGTAGTAAGGAGTTCGGAAATTGAATCTCAATTTAAGCACACATCCCACGATTAAAATTTCCAGATTTTATGGTGATTATAACTGACGATAACTGAAATTTTGAGTCTGAGTTTATGAAAATTCTGAAGTTGTGTAGTCTGTCTATGTTCCAGTATGAACGTGTTGTACCAGATTTACGACTTCAGATGTGTAATCTATCCACGTTCAAGTATGAACGTGGTATACCAGACTTATGGCGTTGGTTATAAATTCAGACGTGCGCAAGTAACTATGTATGTAATAGGTCACGAACATTTTAATATGGACTTTAACAATTTTAGAGACTCTCTTAAGCACTAATTTTCAAATATTAACATTCACATGATGAAGGGTACTTGATAAGATTTATATAGATATTGAAGTGTAGTCCAAAGAAAAACTTTTAACTCAACACAGACTTTTTAATAAGGATTGAAAATCTGGAGCAATTCTTTGTACTTGCAAATCTGTAGGCTGAGGAAGTCTTCTCATGTCGTCTGTTGTCAATACAAATTTCTAAATATGAAGTTGGTTCCATATTTAAGATGGTGGGTATAAGTGCGGGAGCAAGAAATTCACTTTGTACATTCTAGAGTTGAACATTTTGATATGGAGTTTAACAATTTCATGGCTTTTGAAAGGGTTAATTTACAAATATTGACTATCACATAACAAAAGATATGGAAGTATCGGTTGGGGGAAAATTTGTTATCCTACTGGGTCTTTGTAGTTTAGATGTAGTAAGTCTGAATATGTAAGGTTCAGAGTTCAACGTCTGGGCACATTTAGTCGTAATATTTTGAAATGAAATTCAGAGTTAGTCAACAACTCTTGGCGTTCAAGACTTACAACACATTACTTCCTCTAAAATGCATCTAAGACGGTAGTCAACCATGTGTTCGAATATAATAGGACCAACCTTTAACTTACATCATAATAGTAATTAAACATTTTCTTAAAATATGACAGTTTTAAATAGACACGCTTAATGCGTCCAATAATTACTCCAGACTTCGACGTGTCATTTTATAAACAAATCTTTCGATTTCAGTATTCAAATTTAAAACAAAATATGTACTCCCTATATGAAAAGGGTAGGCTCAACGTAACACATGAAGAGACATAACTCTTTCTCAACACTTAATGAAAGCGGGTAGCATACTACATTAACGAATTAACAGATCATTGTACGAACCAAGATCCAATGACAAAAACTATACAAATAACGAACAACAATGTAGTTGTACACCAGAATCATGAACATTACTTCTGAAGTTGAGGGATTTTTAACGTTTTTGTAACCTATTTTTTTTGTTAAATTAGGAAAAAGAAGCAAAACATAAGACGTTCTCGATACTGCAATAGAGGTTAAAAAGAAGGCAGGTTCTTACGGGAATTAAAAACATGTCTATTTGAAGGCGTAGGTTAAAAATAACCTCTGTTTACATTAACTATTCAGAAAGTACAGTACGACTGAAGCGAAAGTACAATGCTTCAAAGTTAAAAAATAAATGTAAGACAAGAAGGTCTAGATGTTTTCAAGCTTGATGAACATCCTAAGAAGTTCTCGAAAGTCCAACAGATTACGGATTGAACTTAGAATACTTCTGGCTCCTTCTCTTGCTCAACGGGTGGTATCTCTGCTTCATGTAAGATGATCTCCACGATAATTGCCATAGAAGACGCCTTTATACATAATACACTTAGCTCTTAAGTAGGAGCTCTGTCTCTCCTCGTGCGATGCAGGACCTCTGATCCTGATTCTGTGCTTCATACAGAACTAAGCAGATCATCTGCATATACCATGCAGCGCACCTAAAGTTACTTCCATACTCAGTGTAGACCTGTATAGAGGCTCTGCATGTTCAATGTGGAACCCCTATGTAGGTAAGTTTCATACAGCTTTGCGACTATGCATAGAAGGCCTCTAATCTTTGAAGTAGTGTGAAGAACAACCCTGCATAATTTAGAGCCCTGTATAGCGGGTCCAAATATATGCATGGAGTATACAAAGGCCTTGTAATAAATCAATGAAGGCCTACAAGGATATTAGAGTATACCCCATCTGATAATGTACAACCTGTTATTCAACTATCAAAAACCACTTCATCTGAAAATAGTTAAATACTTACAAGCAGATATAACTTTCATGAACATGAAAATCAAACATTACAAAATTATTTAATGCAAATGAGTTTAATATGAAATCCAATACAAATAATAACGAAACTGTGTATCATAACATAAGTACCAATGCAAATATCATTGTCCAAACTAAAATTCAACCACCAACCCAAAACCAAATACGAGTTTCAATGTAATTGCTCATCAAAAGCAAGAATATTAGTTTTCATCTTTAAGATCTTTAATGTTTCTATAGCAGATCCTTTTTCTTCCTGATGGTCATCAAACCAACTTCCAAAAAGCCGCTTCCAATCAACTCCTTTCCTAAGCTTTCTATCACACAACTTCTCTTCTGATTCCAGATTGTTATCTGGAAGAGTCACCATTGTCTCACAAGCAATAACTTCTCCAATTACATCTATGTAATGATCAAAAAGTTAACGTAACAACATCTAACTTCAATAACAGTACAATATATAATTTATTTAAAAAATACAATCAATGTAAAAGCATTTAATTCACTCACCAACTGTTGTATGTTCTGGGATACTTTTGGATTTAATGTCTGCAAATTTGACAAATGAGAGACCAAAAATGGAACCCTTAAAATCCTGGCAATTCGAAACAGAAGTCTTGTAATACAAATTTAACTTGATTGTATTATGAATTAACTTGTACTTCATTCCATATCGAGCAATTGTAGGGTTCTTAATAAAACTGCAGCGCCTTCCTGGGGTAAGTTCGTGAACTTAGGAACCCATTTTTGCAGGTCATTTGCTTGTATTTTGGTGCCCTAAGAACATATAAATGAAAAATCAATGAGTACTGATGATGTGAAGATCTTAGACAGTTTAGAAAATAATTCAATATCATGCTTTTAATACTGAAGCTTCAAAAAGATATAAGAATTTACATGTTCATCCATTAATATCATTTCAATGGAGTATATTTCATCCGGGTTTTTAAACACCGGTTGCTTCCACAATCTAACAATTCGAACCTTGACAGTGAAATCATTCTTCTGTATGTCAAGATCGTCAATGAATGTAATATTGTTTCCAACCATTAACCTGTAGAAGGGAAACCATGTATTAATTAATTAAAATTTTGAAGTAAGTTAATCAAAAGAAGCTATCATACCTTACAGAAGAAAAGCAGTTGGTTTTGATTGTTCTTGTTTGACTTTGAGAAAAGTTGCCAATTTGAGTAGTGAGGAGTTCGGAAATTGAATCTCAATTTAAGCACACATCCCACGATTAAAATTTCCAGATTTTACGATGATTATAACTGACGATAACTGAAATTTTGAGTCTATGAGTTTATGAAAATTATGTAGTTGTGTAGTCTGTCCACGTTCCAGTATGAACGTGTTGTACCAAATTTACGGCTTCAGTTGTGTAATCTTTCCACGTTCAAGTATGAACGTGGTGTACCAGATTTATGGCGTCGTTTATAAATTCAGACGTGCGCAAGTAACTATGTTTGTAATAGGTCACGAACATCTTAATATGGACTTTAATAATTTTAGTGACTTTCTTAAGGACTAATTTTCAAATATTAACATTCACATGGCAAAGGGTACTTGATAAGATTTATACAGACATTCAAGTATGGTCCGAAGAAAAACTTTTAACTCAATACAGACTTTTTAATAAGGATTGAAAATCTGGACCAATTCTTTGTACGTGCAAATCTGTAGGCTGAGGAAGTCTTCTCATGCCGTCGGTTGTCAGTACAGATTTCTAAATATGAAGTTGGTTCCATATTTAAGATGGTGGGTATAAGTGCGAGAGCAAGAAATTCACTCTGTACATTCTAGAGTTGAACATTTTGATATGGAGTTTAACAACTTCATGGCTTTTGTAAGGGTTAATTTACAAATATTGACTATCACAAAAGAAAATATAGTGTATAAGTTGTATACAGGTATGGACGGTTAGGGGAAAATTTGTTATCCTAGTGGGTCTTTGTAGTTCAGATGTCGTAAGTCTGAATATGCAAGGTTCAGAGTTCAACGTCTGGGAACATTTGGAGCTAGTATTCTGAAATGAAATTCAGAGTTAGTCAACAACTCTTGGCGTTCAAGACTTACAACACATTACTTCCTCTAAAATGCATCAAAGTCGGTAGTGAACCATGTGTTCGAATATAATTTGGATGAGTCACCATTGTCCACGTTCCAGTATGAACGTGATGTACCAGATTTACGGCTTCAGTTGTGTAATCTATCTATGTTTCAGTGTTTGTAGTTTAGGTGTGGTAAGTCTGGATATGGATGAATCAGAGTTGCAGATCTGGCCACATACAGACCTACAACTATTGGATGAGAATCAGAGTTAGGAAGTAAATCTGAGCGTCCAAGACTTACAACACATTTCTTCCTCTAAAATACAGCTAACACGGTAATCAACCACGTGTTCATATATGATACGACCAAGCATTAACTTACATCGTAATGGTAATTAAACATTTTTTAAAAATATGACGGTTTTAAATTGTCAGGCTTAATGATTCCAATAAGTACTCTACACTTCCACGTGTCACTCTATAAACAAACCTTTCGAGTTCTTTATTCAAATTTAAAACCAAATATAAACTCCATATATGTGAAGCTCATCACTCCCGCCTTCCTTTTTCTCATACGAATTTACCTTTTGCAATCACAGACCACCAAAGCAATCCATCAATGGTGTAACTCACAGTCCAACATCCAAAAAACAATCCATACAATCAAAACCTGTTTTGAACCCTCTTCTTCTTCTTATTCTGACAATGAAGTCAATCAGCGTACTTCTATCATGATTGGAAACATTGAAGTTGCTATCCAGGAACATGTCTCCTTTCCTTCATGAAACCAATCAACATCAGCTAACACCGGATTCAATCATTCAGAACCGATTGCGGTCCCAAATGACGAACATGTCACTGAGAAGCCTAAAGAACAACTCCCTGAACCCGCTGAATCTCAAAGGGAAGTGGGAGATGCTCATGAAAGCCAACCAGCACAAACTGCTATTATGTCTGTAGCTATTCTAGAGCCTGATGTAAGTCAGACTATTTTACCAGAATCTGAATATGATGTCATTAAGGAAAACAACAGTGCTCTAAATCTAGAATCTGAAAAATTCAAACCGGAGCATCAAATTGTTATTAAGATGCTTAAAAGACATCTGCGTAAAAGGATGTTCATCAGAATGTATGAAGTTCCTATTCAATATCTTCAACAGTGGTGGAAAAATTTAACTTATGATGAGGAAGAAAATGAGATTAATTCAACTATAGGTGGATACGGTTTTTCACTATCCCTTGAACAGATAAGGAAGATGCTCTTCCTTCCAAATAACAATGAAGTGTTGGGAAAATCAGATTTTGATATCCTACCATCTCAAGAGAAGATGATTAAATACTTCGTTTCATTGGGATACAAAGATCCCTTGCCAACACTAAGCAGTTTTAGGAGAAAAGGTTTACCACCTGTTTGGTACTGTTTGTTCTCCTGTATCAATCAATGTTTATCGCCCAAAGCTTCAAGCCTTGATCAAACATCAAGGCCAACATTGACAATCTTCCATGGAATAGCTTTCAACATGCATTATGATTATGCATCACTATTCATGGAGGAAATTAAAGTGTACAGTGCAAAGCCACCTGGATACATACCATTTCAAGGATTCTTCCAACTTTGCGTGAAGGGGGCAATGCATTTACGACCGAACATTCCAGCGAGAGAGGAGGAGGACATGGCTCCACAATTCTACATGGATTCACTGAGGTTATCTACTCTTCTTTCTAATTTTAGAAATCATATGCCACTACCATTGGAATTGACAACACATATTAGGAATGATAATAGGGTACTTAGAGAATATTGCGCTTCTATGGGACTGCCAGAACCGGCAAACCCTACCCAAGAAGCACTTCAACGTAGGATAAGTGGTGAAGGGTCAAAAGAAAAGAGTGTTGGGGAGGAGACACAAAGGGGTATGTCTCCTAAAAGTGTAGAGAGGGAAAATGTGAATGAGAGAAAGGGTAGAAGAGAGAATAAAAAAAAGAGCATTTAGAGAGAACAGGGTCAAAAAAAGACGAGGACCCTGCCCCATCCCCAAAAAGACGGGCACCCACAGCTGCTACCTCACCACATTCTCTGGTAGAAGGTATTGAAAAAGGCACTGAGCCCATGCCAACACTCATATCAACCCTACCCACCCACTCATCGCCTTCTCAAAAGGGCGAAGCTTCACTAAACATTTTGARACAACCAACGGATAATCCATTAGCTCCTCAGTTGGAGGAAGCTAATGTTGAAATTGAGGAACACTTGTCTCATCCTCATCATTCATTTGCTCACATTGAGTCAGATAGTCCATTCCATATTGAGCCAAATGCGGAACTGCTAATCTTCCTTTCACCAGCACACGTTTTCATGGCGTACCTGTTCAAGTTGTTTGTCAACCTGCATTAACACCTATAGACATTCCGTTTACGGATGGTCAAGGATTGGGTTGAAGTTCTGGTGGAATGAACAATAAAGAAATTCCATTTCCAACTACATCTGTTGTACATGATGTGTTTGTCACATCAACAGGCCAACCCACACCAGCTGTGGGATTGCAAACAGGATCATTTGTTGATCCTGGTTTCCTCTCAACAATTATGACGCAGATGGAGTTTAACAACTTCAGTGTCTTCTGCCAAAGTGAATTTGCAAAGATTCACTCTAAAATCAATGAATTGATGGTTGTAAATGAAACAAGAAGTTTACACAAGAAGATGACATCAACGGAGAAAGCAATCATGGAAATAATTAATGGGCTTGACAGTTCTGTTCTTCTAACAAAAAATGAGTTGGAGGGGGTGAAGAATATCGTGAAAACCAACAAAACAACTCTCCACAACTTGGAACCAAACTATGTGACGAAACAAGACTTGAAGGTGTTTCAGAGATGCATCCTCAAAAACTGACATTTTGTCTCAAAAGATGATTGATATACAAGCTAAGAACCAAGCTGCCATTCTTAGTCAAGTAAATACCCTCAGGTAGTCTCAAATGGATGACACCAATAGACAAGCCAGAACCGAAAATCCAATCCAACCACCAACTGATCCATCCACTTCAGAAGCAAATCCCATTCCTGCCATTCTGAAAGCCTACATGCCTCATACCGAAGATTTTGCCACAACTGCTCAACTGAATGACATGAAAGCAGATTTGGTGGATTTAAGATACATGACAGTGTTGATACGCAGAGATATTCAACAAATGGGTTGCAAGAAAAAACGGAAGCATGATGAAGATGATGACTCCGACGATAAAGCTGGCTATAATAATGAAAATAGGAGTAAGAGAATAAAGCAAAAAGAGGCAACAACATTGAGAATGGCATCTAATGAAGATACAACAACTGAAGAAAACATTGAAGAGGGAAATAGTGATGAAGACAGAATGGATGTGGATAATACTGAAGCAGGCTGTAATGAGATGGAGAAGATGGAAACGGAGGAAATTGACACCGTTGACATTCCTAGTTCAGATTGGGACTTTAAAAATCCAGATGATGAGGTACAACTCAGATATGAGCATATTTTTCAAAGTTCATGTGTTGCAATCATTCCTTTCACACCTTTTGATGCATTTATTAAATCAATTCATGAAAAAATCTTTACGCCCTCAACCAATCAACCTCTGAAGGGAAATTTTGAAACAGCAGCCGAACAAGCAAAGTCAATTGCTGAGGACGATTCGGAGATGGTTATATATAATCCTGATGGCTCATCCAGCTCTTTTAAGTCTTACAACCACATGTTCATAATAGATGGTGAGGAAGAAGTCATGATGGAACATGAAATTAATGGGAACTGGCCTGGAGAAGTGCAGATGATGTACTCTGAAATGATAAGCAGAATAAGGAGAAATGATTCAGAGATAAATATAAACAGCCAATTTGTTGAAGTCCGTGGTTGCCATGTAAGATCCTTTGCTGCTGTGGATTACTTGGATTTAGAAATAATGAGAGCAGGCAATCGAGTATATCAGATCTCTAGTGCTGATTTTCCAAGATTGAAGTTAGAAGATCAACTTTTCCTCCTAAAGTATTTCAAACAAGCAGAGCTTTCCTAGGGTGAAGTAGAAATAAGAAGGTCAATGGGGATTTACATCAGAAACCTGGGTTTATATGATATGCAAGTGGCATTAGATCTAGAACTGATAAGAATTAATGCTTATGACCCTTTGGATGAAAGCTATGAGAAAATGGCGCTTATGAATCAATTTGTATTCCTTAATGAGCCACGGTACTACTTTAGAAGTTCTTCGGGCCTAAGGGTGCTGAAAGTAACAAAACTTTCTTTGTTTACAAGTGAAGCGTTAACATATTTTCTGAATGCCATGGAGAGTACATGTAATGTACAAGAAGATATGAAAGAAAAGTTTCTAAATGAAATAAAGCAGAGGATAAAGCTTAGGGAATTGTGTAAGGATTGTCACAAAGAGGCGATAATGGAGAAGAATTCGAAGAAAGCATCAAGTAAAGATGTGCTGCTTCCACAGGAGTACTTCATTTCTCGAACCTTAAAACCGGTTCCAACTGCAGTGGTAGAGAAAGAGAAAGAAAAAGAAAAGGTAGATTTGGATGAATGGTTACTTGAATTCAAGCACTGGAATTTTTTCATGTCCGAATCCAATTACGTCATCAAGAATTATGTGGATACATTTACATGGAAGCCACCTGCATTCAAGAGAAAATATGAACACTTTATGAACAGAGTAGGCAAGTTTCGCAGAGATGTGTACTCAAAGCTGAGTATTATGAGGTTGTGGACATCAAACAGAAACATGGCAGGGTATAGTATACCAAGTTTTCAGTGTTGAGAGAATAGATAATAAAGTGTATGAGTTCTCAGAGGCTGATTTCAAATTCATCAATCACAATGATTTTCTCCCATTGTGTTGCAAATTAGCCCCATTTGAAGATAAAGATGTCAAGTTTAGAAAGGGTTTGATTGTTGTTGTTCATGGCATGCTTAGAGCTACCTTAATGGGTGGCATGACTGATTTTCAGTTGGCCATAACTCTAAATAGAGATAGGGTATATTTGATGCATCCGGAGGTCAATCTTGGAGAATTAGAAACTTTCATACAGGAACTCTAGTGTGTGATCCTCCTGGATACA